ACGTATGAATATCTGGACGGAGCCCACAGGCGCGGAGAGTGAACATTTTAGGGGAGAGGGGGCCGCCATATTGTCTGGCGACATTAGTCCTGCCATCTATGAGTAGACTAAGGAAACAACTGTGTTTTCGTCTGTTCGTCCAGTGCTCCAGTTTCTGTGTGACGTGACACGTGTATTGTGTGTACAAAAAAGTTATCTTAAAAATAAATTTACAAAAATGCCGCTTTGTATTGCAATCGGTTGTTGCAATAAAAGCTACCGGAAAAGCAAAGAGCAAATTAATATTGAAAAAAATATTGAAATAACATTTCACCGGTAAGTATACTGTATATTTGTAACCTACAAAATAAAATTTGCTCCGGTTTTATATATTGAAATAAAGTAAAATTTAATGAAAATGTTTTTGCTGTTTGAGCGTCGAACAATCTCGTCGATTCATATAAATAATTTAGATTCTTTGTATTCATTATACATTATCCGTCTTTCGAGTTGTTTGTCTCTAACGCAAATATAGGCTTATTGACGGAAGCTCCTCGCGTGAACCGCGTGAACGCTGTTTTTACACACGGACTTAGGTAGATTGAAGCGTTCTTGGGGCGCATTCCTGCGGATCGGGGGGGTGTCAGGACACTGCCGCGATCCGCCGAATGCCGTGCTCGCTCTCTTGTGCGAAAAGCCACGACGCGAGTAAGCGGCGAGCAGCGATAACTTTGAAAATTCTTATTGAAGCAATTAATAGACTTGCGACTTCTATTTTATAAAATCGCGATAGCGTATCAAAGTAGTCAAAAAATAGTACTCAAAATATTAGACAAGCTAGTGATTGTAAAATTGAATCAGTGCGTGCGTGCGTAAATATAAGGTGCCGACGGTGCGCGTGTTCTGTACGCTCCGCGAGCCATCAACTACCTGAACTCCAACCTTTGAGATTATGCTAAGGCAAGAACGCTACAGCTTGAAAATATTATTTCAAATACTAGTTAGCTATAATTTCAATACGCGATATATTACATATTAATGTTATATTTTTATATATTTAATTTTATAAATTTACATGTCATAACATTTTTCAAATGTACCTTGCATGCTACTATTTATTTTATATACAATTTAGTTGATATGTGTTTTATTAGATTTCCACAAGATGAATCAAAAAAATTAATTTGGGCTAAAGTTATGGGCCTTCAGGTGGAACGTTTACCCAAGTCTCCTCATTTATGCTCGTTGCATTTTTCGGACGATGACTTTGATCGCAGTTCTCAGACGCGAATAAGATTGAGAGAAAATGCCATTCCAATTGTAAATATCGTTTTATATTTGAATTATATTATCTTATTTATGTTAATATAATTCTGCTTGAAAAGTTTATTCGAGATCACATAATTGATATACTAAAATCTATCAAAAAATCTTTAGATTATTATTATATAGAGCAGTTATGATATAAAATTTATGGATAAATGTACACTGCCGCTTCAAAGTATCAGATCACCTACCGAAAATATTCGCTAATTTCAAATATCAATAACTCAACGTCTAATTATCGTAGAGATGAAAAAAATGCAAATCAAAAAGGAAACTCCCAACTTTCCAGTCGCGTTGATGAGCTCATGCAGATGTCACCTTGTCATTGTGTTAATTTACTAACGTAATTTTTTGTAATTTTTTTTACTATTTTAAACAGCTCCTACTTTTGTGAAACTAATCGCACATGAAAATTAGAAAAAGCATTTGAAAGCTTGTAGTTTCAGCTTTAATTTCGAGTATTAAGATTTTGTTTACAATCTTTTGTATATTTATTTTTGTGCAAAAGTGCGGTATTTTTATAATATCTCTTATTTCGAAAACTGGACGCTTACGTCGAAAGGGAAAAAAGTTGCGTCTTGCAGTTATCTAGCGGCTGGAATTTATATTTCAAATTTTTTGGAGCAACTTTTTTTTCGCGTATTTTTTGTCCATCTCTATTTTTTTACACATAGTCAAAATTTAATTTTTGATAAATAATATTAAACAATATAAAAAATATTTATATATTTATTATTAATATTACAAATACATACATTCTTAACAAAATACATTTTTTAAATATTTTATGATTAGACAAATTAATATCTTATAATAAGAAAATTAGTATACATTTTAGTTTTATAAAATTGATAATTTTCATGTGCGATTAGTTTCACAAAAACGGGAGCTGTTTAAAATAGTAAAAAAATTACAAAAAACTACGTTAGTAAATTAACACAATGCAGTGACAAGGTGACATATCTGCATGAGCTCATCAACGCGACTGGAAAGCTTCTCCTTTTTGATTTGCATTTTTTTCACCTCTGTACGATAATTAGACTTGAGTTATTGATATTTAAAATTAGCGAATATTTTCGGTAGGCAATCTGATATTTTTGAACGGCAGTGTATATATTAAAATAAATTTTATATTTACAGTCAAATATTTCAAAAGTTGCGGGTGCAGAAGAAGTCTCTTTGTCAAGTAATACATTGTCAGCTACTGTGTCAGCTACATCAACAGAGTCAGTGCACGAGGATGATTTGACTGTGAGTACTTTTCTCGAGCATAAGATTAATTTTATTTAACTAATTGCAATAAATAAAATTTTAAATATTATGTACAATTACAGTGCGAGCCGGAAATGCAAATAAGCAGAGAAGAAGTCGAAGACAGCGATACGATAACATTAAAAAGAAAAAGAGAAGAGTCTACTTCAGTTGATAATGCGTATACCGAGCGACTGGAGGATACACCACGGAAAAAATTACTGCGCAAAACGTTAATGAATCAGAAGAAATATTATGAAAGGCAAGTGCAAACGTTGAAACAAAAAAATAAGCGGCAAGAGAAACGGATCGCGCAATTAAATACAGTTCTAAAAGAACTGAAACAAAAAAGTTTATTAGCAGACGAACATGCCGATATTCTAAAAACAATAGGTAAGAGTAATATACATTTGTTAAAGCGTTTAACAGCAAAAAGTAAAATATCAAAGAACAAAAATTTCTTTCTAAAGAATATTCTCCTGAGCTTCGAAAATTTGCTTTGAGCTTGCATTATTACTCACCTAAAGCATACAACTATGTACGCACACATTTCAATTCATGTCTTCCACACCCAAAATCAATTAGTAAGTGGTACAAATCAATTAATGGAAATCCCGGTTTTATGCAAGAAGCATTAAATAGTATTACTGAACGAGTAAAAGCTGCAGATTATCCACTATTACGGCACTTTAATTTTTGATGAAATGTCGATTAGACAACACATTGAATACGATGGTAAAAATTATAGTGGTTACGTTGATTTTGGGAATGGAATTATAAACGACAATACTAGCATTGCCAAAGATGTTTTGGTTTTTCTTTTTGTATGTATGAATGCTGCATGGAAAGTACCCGTGGGCTATTTTTTTATTAATGGAATAACGGCAGATCAAAAAAGTGGTTTGATTAATCAATGCATTTGCTTGCTGCATGATACTGGTGTGAAAGTGATTGGATTGACTTTTGATGGTGCTACCACAAATTTATCTACGGCAAAAAAATTACAATATAATTTAATGCCAAATTCTTTACAGACTTGGTTTCCTCATCCAGTTACAAATGACAAAATATTTATTTTTCCTGATCCATGTCATATGATAAAGCTTATTCGCAACTTGTTTGGAGATATGAAATTAATTATTGATGGATCAAACCAACATATCAAATGGCAGTACATTTCAGATTTACATGATCTACAAAGACAAGAAAGTTTACATTTAGGAAATAAGTTACGGTCAGCACATATTCAATATAAAAAACAGAAAATGAAAGTTCGTTTTGCTACTCAGTTATTTAGTAAATCTGTTGCTCAAGCACTTCAACTTTGTAAAGAAAACTTATGTCTTCCACAGTTTCAAGATTGTTCAGCAACAATAGAATTTTTATTGAAATTTAATGATTTATTTGACATTTTTAATTCAAAAAATATGAATCAGTTTAATTATAAACAACCTATTAACTCTTGGAATTATACAAAAATAATGGACAAATTAGAAGAATGTAAAACTTATATTTTGAATTTAAAATTGCAAAATGGGACTCCAATTATTGATTCTGTAAGAAAAACGGGGCTTGTTGGATTTTTGATATGTATCGGGAGTTTAAAAGGCTTATACAATGAAGTTTGTGAGAAGCAGAAGCTTTTGAAATATATTCCAACATACAAAATAAGTCAAGATCACATTGAATTATTTTTTGGTTGCATTAGATCCAAGGGAGGTTACAATAATAATCCAACAAGTCGCCAGTTTAAGGCAGCTATTAAAAAATTGCTAATTCATTCCGAAATTCGAGATTCGGGCTCTGGTAATTGTATACCTCTTGAAAACATAGCAATTTTACACGTAACTTCTTCCCAAAATAGTGAACAAATAATCAATGCTTCAACTCCGTTACAATCATTAAATGATGATCTACAATTAAACTGTAATGTGACCGCAGACATTATAGAAGATCACGGGTACTTTCCAGACATTCGTAGAATCACCGGATTTTCGTCAAGAATTATTGTATATATTGCTGGATTTGTCGTAAGACATCTTAAAAAATCATTATATTGCGAAGAATGTGTTCATGCGTTAACTTCAGATGATAAAAATAATGACAACTCTATTTTGATACAATTAAAAAGCCGCGGGCATTTACAATGCCCATCGTCTAGTGTAACGAAAATTTGTCACGAAGCAGAAAGAATTATCCGCTTTGCGTTAGCAGAAAGTGGAGGAAAATTTATGAAAAAAAAATTTACAGATTCTTATCTTGTAAATTCAGTACTTCGGAAATTTACTGACTCCAATAATTTATTTAGTAATTTAAATGAACATTCACATGATAAAAATGCTTTGGAAAACCATATAGTACATTTGACAAAAGCAATTGCTGCCAAATATATTAAAGTTAGATTACATCATATTTGCAAAGAAGCTATGGAAGATAATAAACAAAGTAAAAGACACTTTCGCAATAAATTAACTTTGTTCCAAGGACAATAGTATTTCAAATTACTCTATCTTATTTTTTAATTTTTTAATTGACGACTGTATACTATATCTCTTCCGATATTTACTACAAGTAATGGAAATCTATAGTTTACGTCATGTACACTATCAATTTTTAATACTTGCAGTGAATATCGGAACAGCCTGTATCTCTAATAATATTGTATCAATTTAATTATCTAATGCTTGTATCTATCAATTTAAATATTGTAATAAAAATTATTTTATTTTACAAAAAAATATTATTTTGAACGATTAAAACCAGTCTCACTTCCTTTCCTTTAATTCAATAATACAATTCTTTCTATCAATTCATGTTGAATTTCAAACAGAGCGCCAAAATGTCGCCAGACAATGTGGCCGATCCCCCGCCCCGCTAATGTCGATCCCCTCGCCCAAAATCCGACCTTACGCTCCGTCCAGATATTCATACGTCAATGGTCTAAGCCCGGTGAACCATCGCAAATGGTTGCCAAAAGAGAATTGCACCCACAAAAGGTCTGCTCTGTATTGGTGGGACTGGCAAGGCGTGGTGTATTATGAGCTGCTCTCGCAAGGTGAAACTATTAATTCGGAGAAATACTGCTCACAACTTGACAAATTGAAGTAGGCAATCAAGGATAAGCGGCCGGAATTGACAAACAGAAAAAGAGTTGTCTTTCATCACGACAACGCAAGACCACACACATCATTGGTGACGCGGAAAAGATTGCAAACGTTTGACTGGGAAATTATGACTCATCCGCCGTACTCGCCCGATATTGCTCCTTCGGATTATCATTTGTTTCGGTCTCTGCAGAATTATCTCGATGGGCAAAAATTCAATTTTTTAGAGGGCGTCAAAAATGGATTGGGCGAGTTTTTCGCTCAGAAACCCCGGGGTTTCTACACCAGTGGAATTATGAAGTTACTAGAAAGATGGCAAAAGATCATCGATCAAAATGGCCAATATATAACAGATTGAATAAACTCTTTTGTACAAAATTTTTGTATTTTATTTTGAGGGAAAAAACGACACAAACTTTCCGCGGTACCCAATATATCCATACGATATTCTATGTATATCCATAAATGTACCTACATCAGCGTATATCGTATGTACCTACGTTACATGTATATACATGGAATGTACACGAGGTACAATATTCTATGTATATACAGGCAGCGATCTCGTTCGAATATACATTCTATGTATATCCATAAATGTACCTACATCAACGTATATCGTATGTATGTACGTTACATGTATATACATGGAATGTACACGAAGTACATTCTATGTATATACAGGCAGCGATCTCGTTCGAATATACATTCTATGTATATCTATAAGATATCTTATGTATATTCACAAATGTATCTACATCAGCGTATATCATATGTATGTACATAATATATACATTTTTTTCACATTATAGATATTTCATGTATATACATAGGATATCGAATGTTTACTGGGTAGTGACACTTTGTTCGATGGTCAGCCTTGGACCTTCCAGCAGGACTCAGGCCCCGCGCACAAGGCAAAAACGACGCAGGCATGGCTGGAGAACAATCTTTCGAGCTTTATTAAAGCTTCCGATTGGCCATCCGGGAGTCCGGATCTTAACCCGCTGGATTATAAGCTGTGGTGCGTTTTGGAGGAGATGGCTTGCAAGAAGCCTCACCGCAATTTGGAGTCGCTCAAGCGTTCTATTGTGTCAGCAGCTAAAAAGATTCCTCTGGAGATCGTGCGTAAATCGATCGATGAGTGGCCCCAACGTTTACGCAAATGTGTGCGGAACAAAGGCAGACATTTCGAATAAAAAATATATGGTTTTATAGCTTTTTTCTCTACTTTCAGAATATATGTATAACTTTGGTCTATCTGTTGTTGTTTTTTTGTTCTATCCGTTTAAACTACTGACAGAATTTATGGCGAGACTAGGTAATAAACTAAATAGCTAATTAATAAAATAATGTAAGACTTAATAATTAAATTAAAAAAAACTTATGCTTTAAGATACAAAATTGCTGTCAATATTACTTTGAGACAATCTGATAAAAATAAAAAACGCATTTTGCACTCATGTTACAACTTATTTCAATATAGCTTTTCTAATAAAATAACTAAACTATATTAATATTATTAACAAATCGAAGACATTTATCACATCTGTCTATAGTAATAATAGACGTAAACAAATAAAATATGTTAATTTATATTCAATAATGTTTAGTTCAGTGCTTTTTCTATTTTTATAGTGTGACGCTTTTCGAGCGCCGTCACAAGGGCGATAGCTCGGCCGAGGGAGCAACGATTCCTGGTGTTGCTCCTCGCGTGGAGAGAGCAACCCGCGAGACTCCACAATTTTTACGCGTTATTTTATATGTCGTTTCCGTTTTGTATTGTTAATATCGTTTAAGTTGTAAGGCGAGACCCCGTGCGGACGGCGTTGCGTATTTTGTGCCTCAGGGCGAAGATTCAGCATCGCCATGGAGACCGGACGCCGGGGGATCATCGACGGGTGTCACGCGTTAGTGACCCCACAGCAAAAGGTCACCGCGATCCCGTCGCCTCCGCTTTGGTTTTAGCCACAAACTCAGAGAAACTCAAGGAAACGCAGCAACGGACCTCGCCCGGCTGCAGACGGCTTCGAGGGCCCCGAAGATGCTGCACTCGGAAGGACCGGAGTATGGCCCGGCCAGCCTAACCAGTCTCTTCCGGGAATATCGAATCATCAACACAGTACCGATCGGATGATTTGAGGAAGCCACAGAAAGCGAGGGGGGGGGCG